TGTTTTGGAGCTCCTCCTAAACTGATTGGCTCCGAATCAACTCCCTCACTGAGATTCCCTCTCCGCTTCTGCACCGCCTGCCAAACACCACACACACACACACACACACACACACACACACACACACACACACACACACACACACACACACACTGACACACACACACTCAGACACACACACACACACACACTCACATACACATACGTGGGAGAGTTGCGTTCAGTTAAATGGGTCAGCCCTTACACGCAAATTGGTGTGAAAGAGGGTAGAGAAGAGAGCGTTGTCAGCTTAACGTGCTACATGCTACATGTGCAAGATTGAGGAATCCTCGCACCTCGATTCCTTCACGCCAGTCACACGCTACACACAAAGCTTAATGTCCGCATGCAAGTCACGGATCAAAACCCTGACTCGCACAAAGCGGCGTTAAATAGTCTTCACTCACATGAGTTATCGCGTTATCGTGATTTTTATTGGCAATCGACCTCTATTTCAACTTTCCTCGCGCCGGCAGAATGAGAGCTGATTGGCCGCGATGTGGACGGTTAAAAAAGCGACGTGACTGGAGGGGACGGGTGGCAGGGAGACGTCTCTGTGAGGACAGAGAGACACCAGAGGAGCTGGACGCCATCAGCAGAAGACCTTGTGCAATGAAGACGATAATAAGCACTTATTAAACTTATTCCACCCGGGACGCTCACAGCACTAATATCTACGTTAATGACAGCTATGTTGCAGATGTCTATGCTATTTATTTCTATGTTATCCTTAACTGGCAGTTCTATTTAACTTAACACTAGAAGCTGTGCAGCTGTGTGTGTGTGTGCGTGCGTGTGTGTGTGCGTCCCACCTGCAGCCTCCACTGCTGCAGGAGACCCATTGAAATGAATGAGGAAACGTTGCCTTCTGCCGCAGTGGCTGAAAGCAACGTTGCAAAGAGAGAGAGAGAGAGAGAGAGAGAGAGAGAGAGAGAGAGAGAGAGAGAGAGAGAGAGAGAGAGAGAGAGAGAGAGAGACCCTCCCGTCTGTAGACTATCTGAGCCGGACCTCTCTGTGGCACAGTGACAAGGATGCATTTTGTGTAGAATGTGACACTAACACACACACACACACACACACACACACACACACACACACACACACACGTGTGGCTGTTAAGGTCAGAAGACCTTTAGAATTGCATTTCTGCGTTGAAATTGGTTCCTCAAAGAACATGACGAATAATCCAGATGTTCCCTCCACATTCTAATCACGAATGTCTCCCGCATACGGACGGGACCAGGTCAAGGTGTCCTCTCCGCGTTTACCTCCTTCCCTTCATGTCCTCACCCAGCAGAAAGAGCTGACTGTGCGTGGAGGCCGGGACAACCAGCGAGGCCCGTGATTGGTCGGCGAGCACCACGCCCACTTAGTACCGCCCATGAGGAGGATGCAGCTGATGAGCCTCTGCTGCAGCAAACTGGGCTCAGCTCACCAGATGTTGTTGTATGATAAAGGGGGGGGGGGGGGGGTTAGAATATATAATGTAAATATACAAGGAGTGAAGGTGATGCTCCAGTGTCTCATAAACTCCTCCTACATATTTCATATTGTGCCTTCGAACTTCACCTGAAGTTTCTCCATCCTGCCGTGAGCATGCGCCCAGACGGGAGGCGTGAGAGTGGAACCAGTAAAATCCCGTGGTGGTCATTTCCTCCCCAGTGGACCGCGTGACCTCTGTGTACCTTCAATCTCACATCGCGCTTCGCTGATGTGAAAACAAACAGCGTTGAGATAGAAATCACTGAGATGTTGCATGTCAACAGTGTGCAGAGGACTGAGGATCTTATTTGATAGCTTGTTTTTAACTTCCTGTGGCTGTTTGAACCGTTGAGGTTACTAATATTCTTATTATTTTATTCATGTCACCAGTGAATATATAATATGTATTAGTTTGCCTGAACAACGTCTCATTTATAGTTTTGTATGAACTTCTGAGAATGCGCTTTATTTGACCTCATTGACGTCACACACTGAACCCAAGACACGCGCGCGCGCGCACACACACACACACGCGCGCACACGCACCTTTCTTGAACTCCTCCAGCATGGCGTCCAGCTTGGTGTCGTTGAAGACGAAGTGCAGCGGGTGTTTGTAGAACTGGGTGATGGTCTTCAGCGGGCTGCAGTCGTCCGGGTCCACGAACGCGAGGTCCTTGACGAACAGGATGTCCACGATGTTGGACCGCTCGTTCTCAAACACCGGGATCCGGGTGTAGCCGCTCTGCATCATGTCCGACATGGTGTTGAAGTCCAGGACCACGTCCGAGGCCAGCATGAAGCAGTCGGCGAGCGGCGTCAGCACGTCCTCCACGGTCTTACTGCGCAGCTCCAGCGCTCCCTGGATGATGTTGAGCTCCTCTTTGACCAGGTCGTGGTACGGGTCGGAGACGCGCAGCATCTCCAGCAGCTTCTCCCGGGTGTAGAAGCTGGAGATCTCCTGGTTGAGGATGAGGTCCAGCAGCTTGCTGATGGGGTAGGAGACGGGGAAGGAGAGCACCATCAGCAGCCGCGTCACCCAGATGGTTTTGGAGGCGATGGCCAGGCCGTGGCGCGACGCCACCGAGTGCGGGAGGATCTCCCCGATGAAGAAGATGGCGAAGGCGCAGATGACCGTGGAGACCCAGGTCATGCCCAGGATCTGGCACATCCACACGGCGAGCGAGGCGTTGATGATCGCGGTCCCCAGCAGCAGCGTGCACAGGACGTAGTTGCCGTGCCGACGCACCGACTCGATTTTCCGCGCGTAGTTCTGCTCCTTGACGGTGCCGCTGTTCTGGAGGACCTGCAGCTCCACCGGGTCCAGCGCCAGCAGGCTCAGGTTCAGCCCGCTGAAGAGCGCGGACAGCCCGAGCAGCAGGACGGAGACCAGCACCTGCAGCCAGAGCTCCGGGGGAGCCGAGCGCTCCTCCACGGCCACCCAGAAGTCCCTCGTCCGGTAGTGTTCCCATTTGGATCCGTCAAACGCGCACATGGAGTAGTATTTGATCTTCTCCCCCCTGCGCAGGTCCTTGGCCAGCAGCTCCACCAGCACCGAGTTCTGACTGGACGCGGACTTGAAAGAACCCAGCACCTCGATGTCGGACGTCCTGGCGTTCTTGTCCATGCACATGTTCCGCTTCGGGTGAACTTGTCCCTCTCGCCCGGGGGTCGGCTCTTCGATGAAGGCGATCCAGGGCGCGGCGTTGTTGGCGCGAGTCGCCGCGGTGCGGTTGAGCCGCTGCGGGGAGGTGGAGTAATAAACCCGCAGGATGAAGCGGGTCCCCTCGGTGGCTTTCAGCACCCCGTCCGCCACGGACAGCTCCGCCCCGGTCTCCTCCGGGCGAAAGCCGAGCAGGCCGAGCGCCGGGGCGGGCAGCAGCGAGAGGGCGGACAGGGAGAGCAGCAGCAGGCGGGACGGAGAGAGCGGAGCTCCGGCGCGGGGCCGGGCGGCCGCATCCTCCGCAGCCATGATGCGGTGTGGGGCGGGGGGGCTCGTTCAGTCCAGAGCCGCGGGGTCACGTGGCGCTGCGTGGTTCCGGCCCATGTGGGGAGAGGGAGGGACCAGCGGGTCTCAGCTCCCTATCCGATGTTCTGAGGGAGGGAGGGGGGCGCCGCTGCGTCGTGACGTAACTTTCCAATAATAATCTGGAGTTTTCACTGACTTTCTTTATACTGTTAAATCAATGGTTTTATCAGATACGTCATGCATATGACGTAACGACGCGTTATCGGTTATTGGCGGTTTTATCTTCAGACTTAATCGAAAGTAGCGATTCAATAAAACAGATTGACGTCAGCGTTACTGAATTTAGCCCAGAAGCAACTTATAGACATTTTAAATACTGATTACCTGCCTCCTCCACCTTCCTGTGTCCTGCGTGAACGTCTTTGAATCAATTTTCTTTTAAATGTCTTTAAACAGAAAATACAACACGTACAAGTTAGTTTACATTTATTGATCTAAATCGGAATCTGTGGATAGATTTGGAACCTTTTCAGTTCTGTAACAAAACATGGCTCTGAGTCACTAGAATCTGGATTCCATCTCCCTCATCGTCACTTGATGATTCTTCTGCACATTATTTGTGTTCAAGGGAATCAATATTTTAACTGAAAGAAACCCGAAGGAGATCAGCAGGAAGTAGATTTGCTCACAATGAACAACTTGAAAGATGAACAGCTCGTTGAAATTATACGACAGAAATCATTCAAATACTGAGAGTAGTACAGCAGGACCAGTGGAGGTATAACCTCCATCAGGTATAACCTCCATCAGGTATAACCTCCGTCAGGTATAACCTCCGTCAGGTGTAACCTCCATCAGCTGTAACCTCCACCAGATGTAACCTCCATCAGATGTAATCTCCATCAGGTATAACCTCCATCAGGTGTAACCTCCATCAGCTGTAACCTCCATCAGATGTAACTACCATCAGATGTAACCTCCACCAGATGTAACCTCCATCAGATGTAACCTCCATCAGATGTAATCTCCATCAGGTATAACCTCCATCAGGTGTAACCTCCATCAGGTGTAACCTCCATCAGATTTAACCTCCATCAGATTTAACCTCCATCAGGTGTGACCTCCACCAGGTATAACTACCATCAGATGTAACCTCCATCAGATGTAACCTCCATCAGGTGTGACCTCCATCAGGTGTAACCTCCATCCACAGAAACCTGTGAGGCTTTTTAATTTATCACATGATGAAAGTATTAATAAAGTGACTAATAATAATAATGATGACAACAGCAGCAGGTGTGTTAGAAGCCTCATTTACAGACATCTGTGTGCTCCATCATCAGTTGTGTTCAAAGTAGCTACAGATTCATTTGCTTTACATTTTTAAGTCTTAAAAAGGTTATGAAATAAATAATGAAAAATCCTCACATAAAGAAAATACTGTTTACTTATTACATTATAAACAAGATTATATTAATATTATACAACTTATTGCAATTCTGGAGTAACATTTTCAGCTTATTACACAGTCGTAATTTTCATACATTTATAATCATTTCTGCTTTAACATGCAGTAACTTACAATGTTTCGGGCCTCTTGTGCCCACGTTGCTTTACTAAGTGTGTTTCACAATAAAATGGCCAATAATATTTAATGAGCACAGCAACATTACGGCATGTTTACTTTTTCTCCAGTTGCATGCATTGTCCAAGCTAACATGCTAACTACCAAACTACCTGCGCTAAACAGATGAAGCCAGTTTTTATCCTTCACTGCTTCCTTCCTGCTGCATCTTCTCGTCCTCCATATCTTTTAATTTCACGTCCAACCGCTCCTTCTCCGACTTCCTGTCCGAGGCTTTTATTCTGGGGCTTTGTTCTTTCAGGGGCAGGTCTCTGGGGGTCTGGTCCTCTAAAGCCTTGTTGCAGGTTCTGGTTCTCTGTCCTTCTCTTTAATGAGGTCCAGCTGGGTCAGTTTGACCAGCTGGTCCTCCTTCCTCCGGTCTGGTTTCTGGTCCAGAGCATCGTACTCAGCTTCAGGCCTCATTGCGCTAAAGAGGCATTTTATACCTCAGGACCCTTAAAATATCACATTTTCCACTATTCCTGACGCCAAAACTGGTTCTTTGAAAAAAGAGCTAATTTTGTTTCTAAATTCAAAATAAAGCAACAACACTTTTGGACACAATAAAAAATGACTTTTCTTCTGATAAACTATGACTTGACTCATATTGGCTGAAGAACATTTGGCGGTGATATATTTATTATTCATGTTGGGAGACTTTTGAAGCCTTAAAACAAGTTGCAGATGCAGTTATCTTTATTTTTAAAAGCTATGGTTTGTTCACCGCGGATGCAGCTGATCGGTCGACCACGTGGTGGCAGCAGAGTGACGTAACACAGGTGGAGCATGTCGTGAATTATTGCGACTCTTTACTCAATGCGAGAGGAACTGACTTCTTCATGATCTTCCTCCATGCGTTTTTCTCTGATAATTCTTAAATATTGATCACTTTGAATCTCTTAGTGTCTCTTTGGTGTTGCCGTGTGTCTCTTGGTGAGTTGTTGTGTGTCTCTTGGTGAGTTGTTGTGTGTCTCCTGGTGAGTTGTTGAGGTATTTCTTGTATGTTGTCTTGTGTGTTCTTTCTTTCTGTTTTGGGGTTTCCTTGGAGTTGTTCTCCATCTCTTCTGTAGCTGTTGGACAACGTGTCTCTTTGTCTCCTCGTGCAGGTCTTTTTTTTAATCTCTTTTGTTGTTTTGTGTCTCTTTGTGTTACTGTGTCGTCACTTAAGTCTCTTCCTCGTTGGTTCCGTGACACTGGCACCCTCCGGACACCTGGCCCTCGTGCGCAGGTAGCCGAGTGACCCCCCGGGGTGCAGGGCGCGTGCTCGTGGGCGACGACCCTTCCTGCTGGTGGGCGGAGCTTGTGATCCTCTGCGGACGGTTTCAAAGTCCCTCGGAAATCCCAAAATTCAAGTCAATATTTACAAAGCGGTTTAGTGATTAACTGCCCTCTTGTGCTGCAGCTGCCCCGAGTCCCAGCAGGCACGCGCACACGCACGCACAAGCATAAGCGAGCGCACACGGTCTCTCGGTCCGCTCCACGATGCTGTGCGTCCCCGTCCGGAGAGGTCTGGGTCCCCTGTGCAGAGCGGGTCCCCTGTCGGCATGGACGCGGCCCCAGAGCCGCTCAGCGGCCCGCGGGCCGGACCTCAGCGGCATCTACCCCCCCATCGCCACCCCCTTCACCCCCGGGGAGGACGTGGACTACCGCAAGCTGGAGGAGAACCTGCGCAAGTACGCCGAGATCCCGTTCCGAGGTCAGGACGCAGCGCTCGGGGAGGGGGTACATGATTTGTAGGACGGGGTTCTTGTGAGGAGACCCGTTTAGGGTTCAAAAGGGTCCTCGGGCGTCTTTGGTTAAACTTTGGGATGTTTGGGGTCACTTTGGGAACACGTGACCCGGTTACAGTTAACGGTTGTCACCAGGGACCAGAGTGAGAGGACAAAGTTCAGCATGAGGAAAAAACGCAAAACCACCTGCTGTCTGTCGCCCTCTGCTGGTTTTCTATTGCTATACATTATATATGTATATATATTATATAAATAAAACATCAGATATAGTTTAGTGTTTTCTATTGTATGTTTTTCCACATTTTTTTGTATAATTTTCTTTTTTGTCTACATTTCTTGATTATACATTAATTGCAATAATTGATTATTTAATTAAATTTTTTTCTTACTATGTTCATGCACCTATACATTGAAGCACGTTAACGCCTCTTAAAAGTACAAATAGTCTGAATATCTGCTGCTGCCATGGTTACTGAACAGTGTATAACTATAGCAAATAACTGTTCACGTATCTCAGTGTTGTGTCATCTGCAGTAATCCAAATAATATTAGACGTTTTACGTTTTAGTATATCGTTTTTAAAGTACCGCTGAAGTAGAAAACAGTCATTTCGATGAGTATCTGCAGTTTGGCGGAAGGATTTCACGAAACAAAATGCAAAGCCTGAAGCTCTGGAGGCCAAAGCCGATCAGGGCTCATCGATGAATGAACGGATGAATACATGAGTGCTCCTGCAGGCCTGGTGGTGCAGGGCTCCAACGGGGAGTACCCCTACCTCACCGAGGAGGAGCGGGTGGAGGTGGTGGAGACGGTGAGGCGGTCGCTGCCAACCGACAAACTGCTGATGGCCGGATCGGGCTGTGAATGTAGGTCTGTGTGTGTGTGTCTGTGTGTGTGTGTACTCTCATCTAATGCAGATATATATATATATATATATATATATATATATATATATATATATTTGTGAGGAAAAAACAAAATATATATTGATATATTATAAATATATAAATATATATTATATATATATTTTTTTTTTTCACAAATATATATATATTTATATTTTATAAATATATATGTATAATATATATTTATAATATATAAATATATATTCTGTTTTTTTTCACAAATATATATATATATATTTTCATATATATATACATCATATATATATTTTTGAAAGAAAAAATATATATAAATATATTTATTTTTTGAATATATTATTCGTGATAGAATACCCTAACATAACTCCAGATGTAAACCGATGGATCGACGTTATGAAAGTGTCTGTAAAGATGTCGACTGTAAAAAGCAGCTTTTAAAAAAACTAAACACATTCAAGTCTCCGCGATAAATGTAATTTCTTTTTAAAGTGGCTTCGAGCCGCCTGTCACGTCAATGTGACATTTCCGTTTTTTCACAGCTGACACGCTGTCGAAACAATCGCCAAGTTTGATCGGACTTCAAATGATCGTAATAAAGGCGAAGACGTTCTGTGCAGATTAAAGTTCTAACGCCGTTCCCTCCGATCAGCCACCAGAGCCACGCTGCGCCTCACGGAGAAGATGGCGGCGGCCGGCGCCGACGTGGCTCTGGTGGTGACGCCCTGCTTCTACAAGGGCAAGATGGACGGAGCCGCTCTGACCCAGCACTTCACCAAGGTGAGCGGGGGGAGGGGTGGAGGGGGTCTCCCGGGTCAGTCGGTCCGTATCGCGGCGTGACCCTGGCGCTCTGCTCTCCCGGCAGGTGGCGGACGGCAGCCCGGTGCCGGTGGTTCTGTACAGCGTGCCGGCCAACACGGGCCTGGAGCTGCCGCTGGACGCCGTGGTGCATCTCGCCCAGCACCCCAACATCCTGGGGATCAAGGACAGCGGGGGGGACGTAAGCCACGTGATACGACTCAACCAGCATTTACCTCCAGTTGTCTGGTTCCCTGAACGCTGCAGGCTTCATCTGAGAGAAAGAAACCAATCAGCCGATCAATCAATGCGGAGTCGGTTGTGTGTGTGTGTGTGTGTGTGGTCGAGGGTCGCAGCAGAAGAAGAGGAGCCTGAACTCGTTCCTCCCGCCGTGTGTGGGAAGCGTCTGCGAGAAGCCGCGCGGATGGATTCGCGGTTTGGGAGAGCGGCGGTGTTCGTCCACTCGCTGGGAGAGCGAGCGGCGTGGGCGTAGTTCAAGCACACGGCGGCCCCGCTGCATTGTGGGCGTGAGGAGGACGCGCGCGGGAAAACAGGGGGTCAAGGGTCAATCTGAGGAACGCAGACAAAAGTTGCAGAAAGATTATTCGGCGGCGCGCAGGTTTCCCACGCGGAGCGTCTCTCTCTGGCACGACGCTCGATGGGAGAAACGCTCGGCTGGGATTTAATGTCCTGATGTTTTGGACCAGAAGCATTAATTCTAAAACGCTGATTAATCCAAAGATTATTATTTTATCCCTTGTTGTTCTTTGCTCTTTAATAGTCTCAGGAAAAAAACTGTGAAATATCTCCAAAAGTCTGATGACGTCCTCAGATCATCGGTCCCTCCGTGCACGTTAGCTACGTAGCTACGTAGCTGCGATGCTACGCCAACAACCTACGGACCTCCGTGGTCACTATAACAACCAGCGTAAAGGCCCAAATCCCAGCAGGTGTTCAGAAGGCTCCATGGCCTTCAACATCTATGCCGACCTGTTACACAGGTTCCTCACGTGGGAGCAGGAGCCAAAGAGGAGTAGAATAGAAACATGTGTAGACAACAACATCTCATGCGTAAGATGATTAGAACGAGTAGTAAACCGAATCATTATGGAATAAATTACAAGGAAGAATAGTAAGCGCAGCAGTAGATGTAAGAGAATAACAAATGAAGGCATCAATCAGCCGCTGGTTCCTCGGTTCCTCTCAGCTCTGCTCCTGAAAACAAACGGAGAACAAGCAGGAAGTAGAGGCGGATCCTCGTGTCCCTCTGTCCCGCTGCTCGTTCATCCCTGAATAGACGGCTGAGACGCCTCAGGGGCGGAGACGAGGTTTGTCAGCTGGCGGGTCATGGGTTCGAATCCCGCTTGAGTCGTTCGTCATCTGCCAATCACGGGGTTTCAGAAGGCCACTCGGCTCATATCTGCAGCTTTTAATGTTCTCACCGCCACGTTGACAAATCACTCAAAGTTCCACCTCGTCTCCCGAGATCTGACTCCTCCCTCCCACGCCGAGGCACACTCACATCTTGTGTGTGGTTTTTTTTTTTGTGTTTTTTGGCGCGAGCCCGAGGTGTGAATGCGTCCGCCGCGCACAGCGAGCGGAATCAAACCGTCGGTTGCGACCCGGCAGAGCGACACCCCCCCCCCCTTCGAAGGAAATAATAACGGCGCCTTAATTGTTTAGCAGTGAGCAATTAGAGCCCCCGAGGAGCGAAATATGACACGAGCGGCGAGATAACGAAGCTAATCGACATAAAAAAACCTCACAGTGTGGATTAAGCTGCTTCAGGAATTAGAAGATATGGAACAATTAAAACTTTAACCAATAAAGGCTTTTATTGCAACCTCTTGGGTAAATATGTGGGGTGTGGGGGGTTGTATAAATACCAAAAAAATGTGTTTTATAATGTCTGAGATATATTTTATTTTTCCATCCGAATTGTGTTATTTATATACAAATGTATAAATAATATTATATAAATTATTGTCGCAAATAAACTTATGCACCAAAAATTTTTGAATCTTATATAAAAAA